GATGATTAATTTTTTGCTCTCTTTCTCGATGCCATACCTTTAAATCTCAAACTTATCTGGTCAAATATTACAGTTCAAACACTTTATCACAAATAAAACTGGATGTTTATAACATACAGTAGGGTGAGACATCTTGCAAGTAGGCACCTGTGTAACATTAAACTAATGGACTTTCTTCATCTAAAGAAAAGTAGAGATTCAGTATCAGCCTGTTCATATCATAGGATTCAAATGGCTTCTCCAAAGTGCAGGACAGTTGGGAAAATGTGTAACCCTTTATTATGGATCACTAATGATATAGATTTTTTTACCTCTTCTCATCTTTTGTACAAGCTATTGATTTTGGAGCATCATGTGCAGACTCCAAACAAACTCTCATATTACCTTCCTGGGAGAAGCAGAAGATGATAAAAGCAGGTTACTATCCTTTTTACCTTTCAACTTAATTCCCAGGTGACTAACAATTATTGGGATTCATTAATATTAAAAAGAAGCAACAAGCCAGAAATGCAATTCTCTCATTTAGTTAGATTCTATAATATTACAACTAGTCAACAGGGAGGAGGTTGAAGAAGAATAAATTATAGATATTTGCGAACAGATGGTTCTCCTAATATTAGAAGTGAAACCTAAGAGAACTTGTGTCTGAGAAATGAAGATCAATCTTGTCCCCGCAGAGCAGGTAACATTAAAATGCAACCTACATGGAAAGAATTGTGAGGAATTCATTCTTCATGCTTCTTTCTAAAATGCTAGCTTAATCAAAAATCCTCAGGGGAAGAAGATTAAAGATACATAGTAATGACTGGCCTGTATTTGTGTTCATAATGCTCTTCATACTATGGTGAACAGCTCCTTTAATAGGCACTGCAGGTTCAGTAAACTTTAGAGTTGAATCCTCTTGATGTCTTTATCCTTAAGAGCTTTATTTGCCTGTAAACCACGATGATGGGTTTCGGTCACGGGCTATATGGGTCTAAGCAGCCATAAGAGAAATATCCTCACAATATTTGATGTGTTATATTTTTAATAAGCAAAACTAGTTCAGATATGAAGCTCACTGGGAATAAGGAAAAAGAACAAAACCTGCCCCACCATCTTCATAGTAAGTCTCTTTTGAAAACATAGCTATGATTGCTTGACTTCTAAAAAAAGTAAATGCATGTTATTGCCTAATTATTCCAAAATATAACTTTTGTGAAGTAAAAAAAGAATTTAGTAATACCAAACGAATTAAGGGTGTACATGAAATGAATAAGCCATCATGTTCCAGAAGTTCTGCCAAACTGTTTTGGGCTGGCTTCAGTTTGGCAGAAACAAAATCCAGAATATTTTGGTTGTTCTGAGTTTTGGCTGAAACAAAATCTGGAGAGATACAGTGTGATTTTACAACCTAACTACAGAAAGGCTGGTGTACTCTTTATTGTTCTTCTTCCACTGACTGTGAACTGATTCCCCATTTTCCTTCCCTTCCCAGTGGCACTGGTTAAGTCAACACAAGGAAATCCCTTGGCCTTTTCCTGCTTTTTCCTCTCCAAATAATTTCTGCCCAGAACAATCACTTTTTGGTCCATATTTGGAACAAAATACTCCGAAACATCCAAAACACACAAGTTTTGATTGAGGCATGGACCACCCAGAATTAGTTGTTTTGGTACAGAATGATTTCTGCATGGAATGTTCTGCACATGAGGAATGAGTTTTTGTATGCAGAAGTTTGTTTATTCATTTATTATTAATGCTTTTATGTTGTTTCAAACATTGAGACTCTAAACAGCTTACAAGCAACAATAATAATATTAACAATACTGTACAATAACCATAAAATAGTGATCAGATCATCAAAATATATAATAAAAAATAGCACTGTATATCATCTGAACACACCATTACAAATTCCAGGCACCTCTATCTTTTCACACATCAGTCCCCAAATGTTAGTTGAAAGAGCCAAGTTTTCAGTAGCATTTTGGATATCAGGAATGAGGGGACAGATTTTATATCTGTACTTCATGAGGGATGGGGACTCTCAGTAAGCACTCTGCAGGCACAGGCACACCTTCAGTAGGGAAACTCTACTGGGAATAAGTGAGCTTGCAGATAAGCAAGCTCCAAACTACACAGACCTTAAAGGTTATAATCAGCACCTTGAACTGCACCAGAAACACATGGGCAACCAATATAGCTCCCACAGTACTGATGTTACATGACAGTATCAGGTTGTCTCCATTAACTTGTGGACTGCTGCATTCTGCATTATGTGCAGTTTCCAGATGATCTTCAAAAGCAGTCTCATGTGCAACACATTACAGCAATCCACCCATGAGGTGATAAGGGTGTAAGTAACCATTGCTAGTGCCTTTTGCTCAAGCAACTGCAACTGGTGCACCAACCAAAGCATGCAAAGGCCATCCTGGCTACAGCTTCCATCTCCTGTTCCAGCAGGAGTTGAGAGTCCAGAAGCAATCCAGACTGAGCACCAGCTCCATCTAGAACTATAGTTGGCATTATCCCACAATCTGTTGACTTCTGATCCCATAGCCATTCAAGTGGCTAGGAGTAAGTCTCAGCCCGTTTTGTCCCATCCAGACCCCTAAAGCTTCCAGAAAACAGGTTAAAACTTCCATTGCATTTCCTGGGTGACCTAGACTAGAGAGCTACAACTGGGCGTCACCTGCATATTGATGATACTGGACCTGAAACCACTGGATGACCTTCCTCAGCAGTTCATATAGATTCTAAATAAGAAGAGGACAGAGTTGAGCTGGATTGCCCAAGGGCTCAAGCTCTCTCACCATAAACACTCATCTACTGGAACCATCCACTCAGGAAACAGCTGAACCACCACAGGACAATGGCCCCAACTCCCAACCACTGCAAACCACTATGGGTGATGGCACTACAGGCCAATGAAAAATCTAACAAGACTAGTAAGGTTATGCTTCCCTTATCTAAGTCCTGCCATAGTTCATTAATGAGGATAACCAATTCAGTTTCTGACTTATGCCCAGGCCTTAACTTTCATTGAAAAGGATCTGAATAATCCTTTACTTCCAGAGCCCTCTGTATCTGATGCCCCACCACCTTTTCAACAACCTTCCCTAAAAAGCTGGGCCCAGGGTAGCCCCTTGAGGGGATACACCAATACCCTCTTAAGGGGTATCAACATCTCTTCCTCCTGCAATGAAACATTTGCAACTGTCTGGACTCAGCTCTGCCCTGTCCTCTCCCTGACAGCATACGCATACATGCATACATGCATAAAAGCCAGGAGGGGAAAGGATCAAGCCCACAGATGGCAGAGCTAATTTCTCCAAGGACTCTGTCCACTTCCTCAGGATCAACAGACTAAACTATTCACAGATACTACCACTTGACTTTACCCTCGGCACCTCAGTCTCTTTCAGCCAGCTTCTAATGCCAAGTGAATATGAGTAATGTTATCTGTAAAGTGCCCTGCTAACAGCTCACATGATTCTTCTGACTAATCTTTCCCTAAAAGGATAAAAGTCACTTTAAAAGGGGCAGCTGGAAGGCACTCTTCAGATGCAGTAAGGCTAAACAAGTAATTCTACTTTGCTGCTGTTATCACCAGAGTGTAGATCCAAGCTTGAGCTTGTCCCCATGTCCAGTTGGATTTGCACTCCATCTTTTGCCAACATTGTTCTAGGTGACTCCTCTAGTGCTTTGTCTCTTGGATATTCCTTAAACAGTCAAGGAATCGTCAGGACTGGCACACAGGGAGAGGTTGTTCTAAGATATTTTATTAGATGCAAGATTTTGTATGGTTATTATTTTATGTAAAACATTGATTTCTCCGATTCTTAAAGCATGTGTATGCGTACTGCATCAATACATCTGTGTAGTCATATCTTTTTCTCAAAGGACTTGGGAAAACTTAGCTCTGTTTAGGATCTCCCATAAAAATTGTCCACATCCTTACAAAACTATAGTCTTCAGCTCTGTTCTTGTTAAAAATTCTTTAAAAGCAGTTTGAATCTCTAGTCAAGATATAACTGAATTAATAATAATCAAGTGAAGGGGATGCAGCATAACCAACCTTCTTAAGTGTCTCATTTAATTGTTTAAGCCCTGGTTTTTTTTATTGTTTTAGTGGCAGTTATTCAGGAAATGAATCCTGCAGGCAGTTGTGTGAAATAAATCCCTAGGAGTACAATGATCAAGAACTGCTGAACCTGCTTGTATACTTTGTAAAGAAATCTAATAGCTTTATAACGTCATTTTTCTTCATAAGAGGCCTGCAGGATCAAGTCAAGGGAAATCAACCAAACTATTCCCAAAAGTGGGCAGTGCATCCCTGGAAAACCCACAAGAAGGGTATGAAGATAAGGTCCCACTTCTATCCTTTGTCTCCTGGAATTCAATTTTTTTAAAACTTCTGAATATAGATTAAACGACTGTATTTATTGGTGTATAACACGCACCTTTTCCCTTAAAATTTGGGGCTGAAATCCTAGCTGTGTGTTATATGCTGATACTCAAGCAGCAGGGCTGGGAGAGTGGAGCCTTCATTTGAGCCAGGGCTGTAACCAGGGTAGCTCCACAGAGCAGGAAGTGAGCGGTGGGTGAGCAAGCGAAAACAGGTGTTCCCCATCACACACGTGAGTGCCTGGACTCTCCAGAGCAGGAGGTGAGCAGTGGGCAACGGTGCTCCCCATCGGTCATGCGAGCACCTGAACTTGCTTGTCCTCTGCTCATCTCCTGCTCTGCAGAGCTCAGGCACTCATGCGAGCGATGGGGAGCACCGGTTTTCTTCGTTCAAAGAGGTGCTTTTTCTTTACCTTATAAGTGGTATAAATATTAATAAACAAAAAGGTCAGAGCTCCCTTTATTTTGCTTCCAAGTCGTTTATTTTAAATTTAAGGTTTTTTACTGAAACTTCCTTCTTAAAATTAAGGTGAGTGTTATACGCCTGTGCGTGTTATACGCCATTAAATACAGTATTTTAGGTAATAACTTCTAAACACAAAATTCTTTACCTCTTTGATGGCAGACATCTTTATATTCTCATAGTAATGTAGTGGTGCATTGGGAGAGTTCATGTCATAACCAAATCCAGCCACTGCTACTTCATCACAATTGTGGAGAACCATGGTAATTGCTACACTTCCCAGAGTAGGAATGTTCTGTGGAGGAGAAAGAAGCAGAACACAAGCAATTAAGTAAAATTTCATCTTCTTAAGTGCCAATCTGTGAACAGATCCCAAGTGGGAAATGCAGTGGGACTACTACATCTAGAGATAATACGTTGAGGAACCAGTGTAAAGCTCTATTCCAAGACACTGCTAAGGTGAACTATATACCTGAATATGAAGTAAGATTTCATGGTGATTGACAATAGGATAGAAAAGCAATGCAGAATACAGAGGAAGAAAGAGGAAAAGGAAAGATATTAACTGCAATAGCTATAGAAAAACAGTGAGGTATCAGTGAATAGTTCCATAATTATCCAAGTCAATGTTCAGAGATCACATTTCTGATGAGTGCTGACTGGCTTACAGCAGGTTTGGAGCAACTGAGGACAGTTGGACTAGAAAAGCAGGATTTTTTAATTAGGCATTCTGTATTAACTGATCATTTTATGTATTTTCAGGCAGTATGAACTATACATATTCAAGGATGTGAACGTATATAATTCAAGCTTAACTAATCATGGTACTGTAATATGAATTGTCAATTTACGGGAACTAATTTTTGACTTTGCTACTAGCATAGCCTTAGCCAACCTGGGAACCTTTCAAATCTATGGATGTCAAATCCAAAAATTATTAGCAATGGCCATGCTGGTGGAAGAGTTCTAAGACTGAAATTCATATGTCTGAAGGGCATTATTAGTAGGTATCAGGAGCACCATAAGGTTTAGAATAAATTTCTTTCCCATCAGGGGAAGAAAAGCCCTACCTTTGGCCTGACTCCTTTTCCACTGCCTAACTGGCTGACCCTGTGTTGCTACCAGCTGTTCTAGGAAGTGATTCCTTGAAGGATCACCTTATGATGATGCTGCACACAAATCACAGTAGGAAACCTTTAGCACAAAGTATACACAAGCCAGCCTAGCTAGGTGGCAGCATCTAGCTGACTTTGGCTGATCACAAAAAACTAAGGAGGGCAAGACCTGGTTACTACTTGGATAGGGTCCTACCAAGAAATATCAGTTGTAAGTTAGACTGGGAAGTACAAACAAATAAACAAACATAGCAGAAGACTATGACATATTACTTTGTTGTTGCTCAGAAAACTACACGGATGTTTCCATGAAGTCACAAGGAGTCAAGCTTAACTCCAAGAAGATTTTATGCATGCATGCACCCAAACCTAATGTTAATCCCTGTTCCTCATATTACCTGTTAAGAGTTAATCTCCTCTAAGATGAAGCAGATAGGGTTCATCAGGAAAGAGATCAGTTGTTTTAAAACAGTGTAAATTCCAGGCACTGGACCCTAACACTGGGTGGACAATCCTAGACCCAGACTAGCTTAGTAAAACAACAGTTAAACAAGTTTATCTTCTTGCATTGCTCTTCTCTGAAAGAAGAAGAACATTTTCGACAATAGTATTGCTGCTACTTAATTGCCTTGCCAGCTTTATAAGCTCTTGAGGTCATTACTATGTCATTAACCCTCAGACTGGGAGGAGATCTCAGTACAATTACAATAACTTTCTGAAGAGACATTCCTGATATCTACTTTGTCTATAAACTTTTTAGTTATTTTTGATTCCACGTGGGAGATAGGATAACACTAGTCGTTCAAGAGAATATTAACAACAAGCAATTTCTTTGACAGAATAGTTCTTTTTGAGCTTTCAAGCAAACTCATTGCAATTTGCCTTGTTAAAATTAACCAACTAAATATGGCTAACAGCAAAGGGTTATCATAAACACTCTTTCCTGAAAATTAATTTCAGTCCCTACCCCACAATATCTCAAACTCTTTATAGTTACTATAAATATAATCATAGAACAGAGTGTAAGCAATTACCTCCCCCCCCGCAGTTAGATACATATATCACACTACTTACATAATGAAAGAGGCTTTATAAGCCGTCCTTGTCTCTTATGACTTTCAACCTCCTTTAAGCTCACATTTAAATCTGCCAGAGATCATTTTTAGGTGATCATCCAGTTAAAAATAAATAGTGAATTTATAACACAGTAAATGTGGAGAGAGCTGGTCCACAGAATCACTGAGAATCCGACATGATTGAATGGATAGCATCATCATCATCATCATCATCATCATCATCATCATCATCATCATCACCATCATCAAACAATTACAGTATTTTTCTTTTTCAAATAACTTTGCAGATATTAATTCAAGGGTCTGGTTTGTAAAATTTGTCACTAAAATACTTTAAAGACAGTATAGCAATTATTCCCAAATATTTTCAAGACCAACTTTCTGTTGGAGAAATTTGAAACACTGTTAATGTGCCATTGAAGTCAGCCGAGATATCATAATACATTTACATTATGTGGAGTCCTTGGGGTTCTCTGAGCTTGTAAAGGAGCAAAACAAAACCCCACCCTTACCAGCACTGGCAAGGCAGGCCACAGCACATAAATAGAGAGCAAACC